CACATGTGAAAAATCAGCACATTTTGTCAAACACAGACAATTTAACACGAAAAAAAGTAATTTGTATGCCAAAAAGTAAGTTTTTCTACTTTATTTCAATTTCTAATAGCATTATCTGCTTTGCAGTTAAACTCATCAAACTTAAATTATGTTATTTGTATGTCTATGGGGATATATTCTGTGTAGGTCTTTAGTGCTAATGTTTTAGCCGTTGGCTGTAATGTTAGCTAGTTCATGGCTATAGGAGTCTGGGTCAGTTGTAACAGCAACAGTCTGGGTTAGTTGTAACAATAATGCAGATGTTACAACTTACCACACTATTACTTTAACTTATATTAAACAAGTTGGGGCAACGACATCAGCAGAGAGAGGTTCACTGGTCGCTTTTGTATATGCGGTTAATGCCATTGGCAACACAATTCCTCCACTGTTTGTGTTCCCACACATACATTATGCAGACCACTGTGTCAGAGATGGACCAGTAGGAAGTACTGGTAGTGGAAATAAATCAGGATGGGTGCAAGAAACAGATTTCCTCATCTTTCTGAAGCACTTTGCAAACCACACCAAGGTAAGCCAGTTTAGAGGGCCTCAGCCCCCAGCCACAATGCCAGGGTTAGTGCTCTAAAATTAATATTAATGGAATATACTTCTTTCAAATGTAGTCAGCTCTTTCCACATTTGCAATTTCAGTAGAATGTCAACTTCAAAAACAGCTTAAATAGCTGATGACATATTGCAGTGTCTAAAAATAATTCATAATAAATAATCACAGATTTAAATATAATAAACAGCTTTAAGGTGGAAACTTTAGTCTCAATCATTTTGACCAGAGTTTTCCAAAGTAAAGAACAACTTGTGAGGAGAGCACAGCTTTTTTTCAATCTCTTAAACACATGGAGGTCAACCAAATCATTAAGCACTTAAAGTACCATTATTCAATAAACAACGTGGAAGATCTCACTGCCAAGAAGCAAAATGGTAAGAGAGTTTTTTTAAATTCATACAAACCCTCCCTTCATTCTGCAGATTCAGCACAGAGCATCATCATCTCTCCTAAATCCAAGAGTGGGGAGCAGATTTGTAGTCTGTGACGCCAATGCAGTTTCAGCTATCTTGTTTAGGCCATGATTTGAATCCCATCAAACACTACTATTCATATTAGCTAGTACGTTCTTAAGAAAAACCACAGATATTTTTAAGTGTGCTGCTGGAAAGCACACAGTATCCATGAAATGCATGTCAACTTATTTGGTAAAACATTTCCGGCTAACCTCACCGTCTGCCCATTTACTCACCTGATTCTTCCTGCTCTTCTACAATCGCTCTGCCCTCTCTCTCCATCCTCCTCACGCCCTCGTTCCACTGATAATAGCACAAACACTGCATTCAACTACAAAAAGCATAATACTATAATCTGATGATCATTATTGCAATAGCAGTTGGGGATCCATTTTTGATATCAGTATAAAACAGCTTAGTTATGTAAAATTATCATTAACTGTGGCCAAAACAGAAGCTACAGCTGTACATGTCTCACCTGTTTCTTTCTCTCCCTCTGTGTCCTCCTCTCTCAGACCTTGTGCGGTCACCCAAGAGTTAAAAGTAACAGTGAAACAGAATTTACAAACTAATAAAAGGCACAAATTGATCCATACCAATTTCTAGCAGTATTCAAACTGAATACAGGCTGCTGCTGGATGTCGACAGGTAGCATCCTTTTAACTTACTGTCACCTGGAACTGGAGCTGTGCTGTTAATAAACACTGAAACCCAATTTAAACAGAATAGGAATAGAAATCTTTAACAAACTGAATCAATAAAGTAGCTCTTTTTCTGGCATCTGGCGATATGCCAGCCAACTATTACTATAGTTACTTTTAGGGGTGCTGTGATTAAATTTAAGGATGTTTTTTTTTTAATGGGACCACTAAAAAGGGTCTGAGCTCACCTATGGCTGTGTTGCATTGGCTGCTTAAGAATGATATACAACAAGAGGTATCATAACAGATAGAAAAACTCCTGCAACAGATGAGTTGTACTTTTTCCCTCTGTATTACCTTCTTAAAGATGTAAAGAAGGAATAGTGCCTGTACAATATTTAACATTAGGAGAAGTTAGAGAAAATATCTGACTCAGGCTGGTTACCACTTATATACTGGGGAGGCAGGTAAATGTAAACAAGTTGTAATAAAACCAAATCCGACATGATATCAGGACATTTATGTCCACTAGAGGGGGCTGTGTGCTGTATTTGTTTCAGCCCAAACACTGCCGGTGCAGTGGTTGAGTGTTTGTCCATACCTATTTGAGTAAAAAAAAAGTTGAATATTTGAGCTTTATATTTTTTTTCCA